CCCAAAGGTTCTCCATTGTCACTCGCAGCAGTCATTCCTGATGGCAACGGAGAGTCACTGGGCCAAAGGCTGAGATGCAGTCTGATGCATTGGTTAGAGGAGGGGACTGGGAGTCAAGACACCTCATGTTGTGTTCTTAGCTCTGGGAGGTAGTTGAGTCCAGTGGGTAGAGCCAGAACTCCTGGCTTGTATTTCCAGCTCCGGGAGGGGTGTTGGATTTAGCGGGTTAGAGCAGAGGGTGAAATGGGAGTCAGGACTTCTAAGCTCTGGGAGGGAGTTTAGTTGAGTGGTTAGAGGAGCAGGAAGGGAGCCGGAACATTTGTCTCTCACAGCAAGCGTGGAACCCCAGCTAGAACGGGGGATGGGGCGTCATAACTCCTGGGCTGTATTCCTGACTCGAGTTCACTGTGTAAATATGGCTGGGTTTGGTCACTTCCATGTGAGATGCTGCTCCCGTTTAGAGCAGTGTAAATGGTTGAGTAATTAAATGGCATGCAGTGAAATTACCCACATTCACAGCAGTGCCCCTGACAGCAGAATCTGGCCAGCCAGACCCCCGATTCACCTCCATAAACTGAGGATAGTAACATTTATACACCATTATCCAGAGTTCACCCGCCTCTGGGAGACAGAGGTATAAAAATACCTCAAAAGCAATTGTACCTAATTCTCCTCTCCATCACCCTGGTGTAAAATAGGAATAACTGCCCTGGAGTCCATTGAGCTGATTCTACTTTCTCTCACACCAGTGTAAACCAGGAGTAATCCATTGGAGTCAGTAGGACTGTTTTCCCCAACCTCGTTCCCATATTACACCAATCTTCACAAGCTAAGGGTCTGACTCAAGAAATTAAGGTGGTTTTCACAAAGGCAAAGTTATTTTATTGATGTAATCCTGACCCCTGCTCTTGTCCCTCCCTCTGCAGCCATCAAACGATGTCCTGAGAAAGAAAATGTCCAACCGAACCACCGTGTCCGAGTTCCTTCTACTGGGATTCTCTGAAGTTCAGGAGCAGCAGATTTTGCACTTTGTGGGGTTTCTAGTGATTTACCTGGCAGCTCTGATGGGGAATCTTCTTATATTCATGGCCATAGCCTTCGACCACAACCTTCACACCCCCTTGTACTTCTTCCTGATGAATCTGTCCATCCTAGACCTTGGCTCCATCTCTGTCATTGTCCCCAAATCCATGGCCAACTCCCTCATGAACACCAGGTCCATTTCCTATGCTGGATGTGTTGGCCAAGTCTTTTTCCTCCTCTTCTTGGTGGGAGTGGATTTTTCCCTTCTCACCATCATGGCGTACGACCGATATGTCGCCATCTGCCAACCACTGCACTATGAGACAATAATGAACAGCAAAGCTTGTGTCCAAATGGCAGCTGGTGCCTGGATCAGTGGAATTCTCTACTCTGTGCTACACACCGGGAACACATTTTCATTGACCTTCTGTGGAGGCAACATGGTGGATCAGTTCTTCTGTGAAATCCCCAAGCTGCTCAAGCTCGCCTGCTCTGACTCATATCTGAGTGAAGTTGGGCTTCTTGCCTTTAGTGTGTGTTTAGTTTTAGTCTGTTTTGTATTTATCATTGTGTCATATGTTCAGATCTTCAAATCAGTGCTCAGAATTCCCTCGGAGCAGCACCGGCATAAAGCCTTCTCCACCTGCCTTCCTCACCTCACTGTAGTCTCCTTGTTTGTTTGCACTGGGGCCTTTGCCTACCTGAAACCCACCTCCAGCTCCCCATCTGCTCTGGATCTTGTGGCGGCTGTTCTCTATTCCGTATTGCCACCAATCATGAATCCAATTATCTACAGCATGAGGAACAAGGAGATCAAAGCTGCCCTGAGGAGACTGACTGGGTGTAGGTATTTCACCAAGTATTAATTTTGTGTCATTCTCTAATTAAAGTTCCCTTACTTAGTATCTGTTCATTAATGTCATTTCCATGACCACACATCTTGCACACAAACAGGTCTGATTCTGATCTCAGTTGCACCAATGCAAATCCAGATTAACTCCACTGATTTACACCCATAGAAAATCTGATCAAATTGTGGAATTAAATGGGTGTAAATTGTTTGCATGAGAGGAATCATACTTTTCATTCTGTTCCAAAACAAAATCCGTTACACTGCTTGGCCACTTGCAACGGTTCCATGGCCACTGAATACAATGATGGGAGTTGTCTTGCTTGTGTGTATAAATAAGGAGTGGTTTCGTTGGAACCAAAGGATTCAGACTGGTGTAAGACTGTGGTCGGTGAGAGAAGATGTTTGGGGTAAATCCTCAACACATCTTTTAGTTCCATTGACTTTGGTGGTGATAAAGCAATTTTCAGTATCTGTGGATCTGACCTACTTCCTCCAATTGATCTGTATATCCATTGCCACCAGCTGGGGACAGGGCCCATTGTCTTCTCCCTGGACATGGTGCCTCCAGGTTAGGTGACTGTCAAGGCTGCTTCCCCACTCTGAACTTTAGGGTACAAATGTGGGGGCCTGCATGAAACTTCTAAGCTTAACTACCAGCTTAGATCTGGTCCGCTGCCACCACTCCCAAAGTGCTAATTCCCTTCCCTGGGTAGCCTTGGGAGACTCTTCACCAATTCCCTGGTGAATTCAGATCCAAACCCCTTGGATCTTAGAGCAAGGAGAAATTAACCATCCCCCCTCCTTTCTCCCACCAACTCCTGGTGGATCCAGATCCAACCCCCTTGGATCGAAAAACAAGGAAAAATCAATCAGGTATTAAGAAAAAGGCTTTTAATTAAAGAAAAGAAAGGTAAAAGAAAACCCTCTGGGAGAGATTAGCATACCAGCTACTCTCACAGACAACAGATTCCAAACACAGAGGATGTTCCCCTGGGCAAACCCTTAGTTACACACAAAAAATACCCAAAATACCCAATTTGACTATTCCTCTAATTGCACAAGACAGGTTACAAAGAAATAAACATAAACCTATTTATTTCCTTCACTAATACTCACTACTTAATAAGAGGCTGAATTCTGGAGCTTTCCCACTCCGGTCCAAAGTGAAACTTCCCAGACAAAGGGAACTTTCCTCCTTCCCTTTGAACCATCTTGTCCTCTCATTGGTTCCTCTGGTCAGGTGTCAGCTAGGCTAGGTGAACTTCTTAACCCTTTACAGGTAAAAGAGGCATTAACCCTTAACTATCTGTTTATGACAGTGACACACACTGTCTTGGAGAAGTGCATTTGCTTTATAGGTGAAAAGAAGGATTTAGTTCTCCAGGGCTCTCAATTAAGGACCAAACTAACAAGAGACAGAAAACAGGCTTTAGTCTAGAATTTTAAAGGTCCCTAGGGGATTTGGACCATAGGTCCCATCAGTGGAAATTTTTGCAGAATATTCATAGCATTTAAAGCTAGAAGGGACCATTTGATCACCTAGTCTGAGTCTTCCGACCTCCTATAGATCACAGGCCATTTACTCCTGTCTTGAGGCCAATAACTTATGTTTGATGAACGCATGTACCAGAAGGGCATTCAGTGTTGATCTAAAGACATCAAGAGATGGAGAATCCACCACTGGCTTTGGTAAAAGCTGCCAAGGTGAATTGGACGTCCAGTGCCCAATGAAGGGAATGGAATTTTCAAAGCTAAAGGAGTTCACTTTTCTGTATAAGATGAGTTAGCACCAGCCACAGAGACAGCAGAGATATGGGCATGTTCTTCAAAGGGGAGGACTATTTTTTCCAGGAATTTAAGATGGGATTTTCAAAAACCCAGGCACCCGATTCCCCTTGGCTTTCAGTCCCTCCCAGCCCAGAATTTCTGTGATTCTATGATCACTGGTGAATATCAAAGATCATGAGTCAATGGACCCACAGCTGCATAGCAGGGTATCATTGCCCAGTATAGACACCTGCACTTCATCACCTAAGACCCGGTTTTCAAAGGTGTTTAGGTGCCTGGTAGGTTTTTCGAAAGCATCTAGGTGTCCAAAACTCATTGATTTCAATGGGAGTTAGATGCCTAGTTGCTTTTGAAAAACCCACTAGGTGCCTAAATACTCCCAGGGGCTTGGATCCATAAAGAGACCCAGCTGTGGTGACCCGCAGTGCGGCAACACCTAACTCTTAGGCACATAGAAAATCACTGGGACAATAATACGGTCACACACAGCCTGAGTCAGGCCCCCGGGATCCCTATATGATGAATAGGGAGGGGCAGACACTTAAGAATGGGAGCCACAAATACCAGCAAGCTAGGAGGGCAGGCAACTGATCTAGCCGATGGAAGATGCCAAGGAGAGGAGTGTGTGCTAGCTCAGAGAGAAGGCTAAGTACAGTCAGGGAGGCCCCTGTGTTTGCTAGCGAACCACGAACCTGGGGAGGATAGGGACATGCTTGGTCCGAGGCCCGATCTGGTAGTACCCAATACTTGATGACATCAAATGGATACTCCCTTCTAATCAAACATACCTCGCCCTCCCAAAACCCCCACCCATCAAAAACATCAGGAACAAAGAAACAAATCAACCAACCAACAAAATATAGTATATCCTCGCTATAATGAACCCCTGGGGATCCAAGCCATTTTTTCGTTAAAGCAGGGGTTCATTACAGCAAAAGAGCCCTATTGCCAGGGGCAGCAGCTGTCACCTTGAGCCCCATGGCCATAGCAGAAGCTGACAGCTCTTCCAGCCCTGGGTCGGTAGTGGGGGCAGAGAGCTCTTCCGGCCTCAGGGCTGCAGCAGGGGCAGAATTTTTACTCCCCACACTGAAAAAAGGAAAAGAGACAGAGAACCTATGAAGTCCACTATTGACTTTGATACAGTAACTGATCTTATGTGGAAAGTGCTCTGATACCATGGTGATGGGTGGCAGTACAAAAGCCT